CAAGGCCCAGGGAATATCACAGAAGAGGGGTAAAAAGAATGTAAGAGTTGGAGGAAGGGGCAGAGTCTTATGGAATGCTGTCTTCTGGGGCATGACAAGACCATCACACTCATGAATTTAGAGCAGCTGTGCTTACCTGCATAAGACCTACACATGATTGAGTTGTCAACATTCCCTCACGGAAGGGGGAGGGGCGGTTAACAGTTGCTTGGGGGTAGGGCCTCACAAGGCCCCATCCACTTCTGAGGATCTAAAGGCAGTTAATGGTTGCTGGGGGAGGGAGAGACATTTTCTTCTGGTGTAATTACTGGTAAGTTACCCATACTCCCATAAATAACATCGCCTAAGCTCCTGTAATAATCCTAACTAAACTCACTAGGTCACAGAAAAAAACAACAAAATTCATAGAAACTGAAGAGAGGCTACCTAGAAAGAGAAAGAAAATTAGTAAAAAGTGGGAGGGGGATAAAAGAGGGTAATGAAAGGAGGGGTAAACATGATCAGATCAGATTATATATGTGTGAAAGTATCCTATTAAACTCATTATTATGTACAATGTATGCTAATAAAAATATCAGATAAGAAAATTTCAAAAAGCCACATACTTAACATTGACCTGAGTTTATTTTCTGTGTTCAGTATTAATGCGAATAACCAAAGTATATTAGGTTATATAATATACAATAATATGGATATGAAAATAAAGTTCTATTCATTTAATATCTGACAAGAAGTGAAGAGCAGCCTCCATTTATGCTATGATGCTCTGCTCAAGTAAGCAAGACCAAGCAATTAAGAACTGAACACTCTGAAACTGTGAGTCAAATTAATTATTTGTAAATAACAATAGGTAACCTAAGGAATTATATTCCAAATCGAATACTGACATCAAAAAATATTTCTTTCTTACTTCTTTGACTTATTTAAGTAGTATGAAACTGTAAGAGAAAAAAAACTTGGGATGGATGATTTACCTTTTTTCACTTTGTTTTGCTAGGAAAGAACCCATAAACAGGGCAAGTGCTCTACAATTGAGCTAGTCCCTCAGCCCATGAATTGAAATCATAACACTAGATTATTTTTTATTGAAATAGACAAAGTATTAATTGTATATTTTTGGGATTAACAACTCTTATCTATTAAAACAGATAAATTCTGTAAAACATGTTGATAAACAGTCATAAACAAATTAAAAAATAATGTGCATTATGATGTATCTAATATATATGAGGATTTTAATTTTTAATAATGTATATGGTGGGGAGGTCTGTGCATGAGTGTAGGTGTTTGAGGAGGCCAGAAGAGGGTGTTGGATTCTTAGAGCTGAAGTTACAGGTGGCTGTGAACCACCCATCAAGAATACTGGGAACCAAACTTAGGTCCTCTGCAAGATCATTCCTCTAGACCCATATATAAAAAGATTTTAGAAGAAATGACTTATACCCTGAAAATTCATTTTTTTTCCAAGTATTTCATCTTAGGACCACATAACCCATCCATGCCAGCAGATAGGTAACTGAATTAGCATGATCTTTACAAATCATAGAAACAGATTCCTTCAGCCACTTACCTAAAATTAATTTGCTCTAAACACCTCATTAGAAAAGAAAAGTGGTAATGGCTAGCAAGATGGCTCAGTAGCTAAAAGCACTTGCTGCTGCTCTTGCACAGAACAGAGTTCAGTTCCTAGTACCCACACGGTAGCTCACAACTGTATGATACTCAAGTTCTAGGGGAACCAACACCCTCTTCTAGCCTCTGTGGACACTATATACATGCATACATAAAGGCAAAACAGCCATACACATAAAAACAAAAAGATCTTAGCTGGACAGTAGTGGTGTAAGCCTTTAATCCTAGCACACTCAGAAGGCAGAGGAAGGCAGATCTCTGTGAGGAAAAAGAGGAAAAAAAAAAAAGGAAAGGGAATTCAGGTATAGTGTCACATGCCTAAAATCTCAATACTTAGAAAACTGAGGCAGGAAGAACAGGTATTTGATGCCATCCTGGGCTACATAGTGAGACACCATAGGAAAAATAAAACCAAAAAGGTTGGGCGGGGGGGGGGGGGAGGAGACAAGAGAGATATGAAGACAGCAGACTCGGAAAAATTTTGAGTCTTTAAGTGATTTTTTTTTTTTAAATAAAAACTAAGTTTTGGGCTGGAGGTGATGGCTTGGTGATTAAGAGCACATACTATTCTTTTTTTTTTTTTTTCTTATTTTCTTGGGGGGAGGGGCGGTTCAAGACAGGGTTTCTTTGTAGCTTTGAAGCCTGTCCTAGAACTAGCTCTTGTAGACCAGACTGGCCTTGAACTCACAGAGAACCACTTGCTTCTACCTCCCAAGAGCTGGGATTATAGGTGTGTACCACCACCGCCTGGCTGAGCACATACTATTCTTGCAGAGGACAGAAGTTCAGTTCCAGCACCCACACTAACAGTTCACAATTGCCTCTAACTCCAGCTCCAAAATAATCTGATATCTCTGGCCTCCATGGACACTGTGTGCATAACCCGCCTTCAGAACACACACATACACAATTTAAAATAAAATAATAAAAATACATCTTTAAGGAAAAAAAGAACCCAAGTTGTGTGTTTTGTTTTGTAATATGGTATCATGTTACCAAGGCTTTCCCTGAACTTGCCGTGTCCTCGAAGCTCTGATGCTCCTGCCTTAAGTTCCTGCTTTGAGGTGTGTGCACTGACACCTGGTTTATGCTGTGCTGGGGATCAAACTTGAAGCCTTAGGTATACTAGGCAGTCATTCTACAAACTGGACTAGATAACATACATACAGAGTCAAGGCAGGAGTATAGATGGAAGTTTCTGAGGACAGAAACCGCAGCCTTTGTAGACAGAAATTTCTGTCCCACCTGATCCTGCAGCTGTTCAGTTCCAAAGAATAACACAAAGGCTTATGTTAATTATAAACTGTTTGGCTGATTAGTGCAGGGTTATTGTTAACTAGCTCTTACAACTTAAATTAACCCATATTATCAGCGAGGCATTCTCATCTTGCTTCCTCTGCGTCTGGCTGGTGACTGCATCTGTCTGCCTTTTCTGTTCGCAGCTTTCTCCTAGTCTGGTTGCCCCACCTATACTTCCTGCCTGGCTACACTACACACTACACACACACACACACACACACACACACAGAGTAGGTTGACAAGATGGCTTAACAGGTAAGTGCTTGTCACACAAACCTGACATTCTAGCTCAATCTCCAGATCCCATGACAGAAAACTAACTCCCAAAAGGTGTCTTCTGTGGCACTTACACATTTATTATGCAATAATAATTCAATTTTAAAAACATATTTATTAAAAAAAAATGAATGCTTGAGATGTGGTGATACCAGTCTATAATGCCAACTTGTGGGCAATTAAGAAAAGAGTCTGGGTCTATAAGATAGCATCACACCAACCAGAAAAACACAGCAAAACCATCTCAACAAACCAAAATAATAATGATTATCATTACAGTATTTAGAATTAGTAGAAATGGGGCCTGGAGAGATGGCTCTGAGGTTAAGAACACTGGCTGCTCTTCCAGAGTCCTGAGTTCAATTCCCAGCAACCACATGTTGGTTTGTAACCATCTATAGGAAGATCTGGTGCCCTCTTCTGGTGTGTAGGCATATATGCACACAGAACACTGTATACACAATAAATAATAAATCTTTTAGAATTAGTAGAAATGTATAATAGTATAGTAGTATAATATAATAGTATTACCATATTATACACCTACCTTACTAATTATTTTCCAACAATGTTACGGAAATAATTAAAAGGTAATTGTATTGGTTTATCAAAATAAGTGAAACTCCTAAAATTTACAGATTTCTAGCTATGGATGTCTCTCGGACATGCCAAGTATTATAACTAGTCATTGTATTATTTATAATTTTCCATAGTTCCCTCCCCCACTGAGAGGGTTTCTGTGTGGCCCTGGCTGTCCTGGAACTCATTATGTAGACTATGTTGGCCTCAAACTCATAGAGATCTGTCTGCCTCTGCCTCTCGAGTGCTGGGATTAAAGGCATACACCACTACTGCCTGGCTTATAATTTTCCATAGCTCTAAGCATATGAACTTGCCATTTAATTTGATATTATAAAAAGTCAAATAAAAAGGACAAGAAAAACAGAACATAGTAATGTTGTTAGGATGATGAACAGTATCAGCTTCTGTCATACTGCAGCCTTACACATGTCAGGCAGGCACTCTACCAGTCAACTATATCCTCAGAAGCAGCTTTGCTTTTAAATGTTTGTCATCAGAGAAAATGACACCCAAAGTTAATTGACAAGTTACTTTATTCTGTGAATATATCACTGAATTTTATGATAAATGCAATAAATAGCAGTTTTTAAAAAATATTTATTTATTTATTATATATACAATATTCTGGCTGTGTGTATGTATGTCTGTAGGCCAGAAGAGGGCACCTCATTACAGATGGTTGTGAGCCACCATGTGGTTGCCGGGAATTGAACTCAGGACCTTTGTAAGAGCAGGAAATGCTCTTAACCACTGAGTCATCTCTCCAGTCCCATAAATAGCAGTTTTAAAAGTATAAGGTTAAATGAGGGTAGGATGAGAAACTAATATCTAAGAAAAGAAACAGTATTTTCTATTAAACATTTTCAAATGGATTTACTATATCCAACAACTTACAGGTGACCAGAGGTTTGGCTTATTCAAATGAATCTGTGTGTGTATGCGTGCACACGCGAACACACACTCACACACATGCACACACAAGGTTTGAGGACAACTTTTGAGGTTGGTTATCTCTCTTTTTTATTTTTCTACCATGTAGGGTTCTGGTCATCAAACTCAAGTTGTCAAGTCATTGAGGCAAAGCCATACTACCAATTCTAATTTTATTCAAAATGTACAAACTATTGATGATTATCAATGTTTTTCTAAATGGTAGCTATGAGTAAATATTAGCATTAATGTAGAAATATTTGAAATTTAAAATAGCTTACTAAATGGGCCCCTGCTTGAAGTAAAACATCTGCAACATCTGTATGTCCATTTTCACAAGCATAGGTTAGAGCCGTGTCTCCTGTTGCTGTGGTAGCATGCACATTAGCACCTAGAAAAATAAAATAAAATCACACATTTACCCTGGAGTTGTGGAATTATATACAGCCCAATTTTACAATATGATGAAACTGAAGAATTCAAAATGTGAAAACACCACAAAAATACAGTTATGTACTCATATTTTCCCTTTTGGTCTCTTATTTCCTTTAACTAAACTTCACAAAAATGTGTTTTGCCTTACATCAAAGCAATAAAGCAAATCATTTTATAGAAGAAAAATTTGCCTGTATATCTGACAAAAGATACCTTAAGTACTAGATACAAAAACAAAAATTTAAACAGTAAATATTCATATTGCTATCAATATTGGTTTGTTTTCTGAAACAGTTCTATGAATATTATGGTACAAATCAAGTGAATAATTATTTGGTTAAGAATGGAAATTTTTCTTGTTGCTAAGAGAAAACATATGAATTATTTAAGTGAAATAAAAACCTTGTGGTTCTAAATTAGAAGTACAAACAATGAATTTATGACACAGTTTTTAAATGTTTAAGAAAATATGTATTTCCTAACCCTACCAACTAAAAAGTACTGGAGCCCAAAGAATCCTAAAAGTAAAGGCTGGTAAGATAGCTCTGCAGGCTAACAGTGCCACGCAAGTCTGACAACATGTTTGATCAGTGGAATCTACAAAGGTAGAAGAAGAAAATTGACTTCAACAAAGCTGTACTCTGATCTTCAAATGCATACTGTGGTATATTTGTGGCCACGCATTCACGCACATACACACAGACACATGCATGTATATGCACACAAATAGTAATTTTAAGAAACACTGAAGAGGCCGAGCAGTGGTAATGCACACCTTTAATCTTAGCACTTGGGAGGGAGAGGCAGGCCTCTGTGAGTTCACAGCCAGCCTTGTCTACAGATCAAGTTCCAGGACAGCCAGAGCTACACAGAGAAACCCTGTCTAGAAAAATGAAATTAAAATAAATAAATAAGTAAACCAAAGAATGGAACACTCCTTTCCCACGACTACACTAGGTACTTCTGAAAGATACTAGGGTTTCATCTCATTATTTCTGGAAATGTATAAATAAAAAGGGAGAAAAACAAAGCCAAACTTGATCTAATCATTGCTACATGAATTCCTACCAAATTCTGATTAAGGGTAGAATTCTTTTAACAGGAAATCCCAACTAATAAGCAAGAATGGAACAATATAGTTGTAGTATATCTCTACTTTGCAACCTCTCATGATCCAAGGGACCTAAACTATGATGATGGCAAATGAATGATACCATAAAAGAAAAAATAGAGGAAAAACCAGACACTAAAAAAACTAGATATTCATGAAAGAAATTATAAAAGTGTTACCAAAAAGGTCTTTCCAGTTTTAAAAATTCTACTTGAATACAACTGAGTTTCCCTCTAGAACTAACCATTAATTCATGAAAATATAAGAAAAATGAGCTGGGTAGTGGTGGCGTATGCCTTTAATTCCAGCACTCTGTAGACGCAGGCGATCTCTGTGAGTTTGAGGCCAGCCTGGTCTAGGGTGAGTTCAAGGGCAGCCAGGGCTGTTACACAGAGAAACCCTGTTTCGAAAAACCAACAACAATGATAAACCAGGTAAAATTATTTTAAACTAAAACAATGTTCAAAAATAATGAAAACTAGAAACTGTAAGGATGGCTAAGAGGGTTAAGAGCACTGGCTGCTCTTCCAGAGGTCCTGAGTTCAATTCGCAGAAACCACATGGTGGCTCACAACCACTTGTAATGAAATTTGGGGCCCTATTCTGGTGTGCAAACATACATGTAGGCAGAATATTGTATACATAATCAATAAAATCGAAAAAATTAAATGGGGAAAGTGGTAAGTATATACATGTAAAAAAAAAACTGGCCATGAATTAAAATTGGATGGGTAACAAACTGAACATGGTGGGGCACACCTGTGACCCCAACTTGGGAAGTGAAAGCAGAAAGGTGAAGAGCAACAGCAAGGTCAAGATCAGCCTGTCCTTTACAAGAGTCTGTCATAGAAAACAAAACTCACTCAAACCAAAGTCAAAAAAAAAAATTGGCTGATGTTGGAATCATCATTCTAATTGGAGAGCTCTGAGAACTAATATCCTTCAAGTAGCAACAAGTGCCAAGTATGAGACAAATGCCTCAGTCAACCGAGATACAACAAAAAGTAATGCCAGGAGCTCTAGGCTTAATTACTGAATGCTAGCTAGGTTTAGCCTGGTAAGATTATGTAGGAACTGTGCATCAGTTAGTTTCAGAATTTAAAAAAAAAAAATGTGTTTAAGCCAAGTATGCTTCCCAGAAGGCTGAGCTAAGAGCCAACAGAGATATATACTGAGACCCAAACTCAAATAAATAAACCAAACAATAATGTTTAATATTGTTTCTTTCTTTTCACACAGGATCTCACTTTACACAGGGTCTGCAACTTGCTGTGTAGACCAGGTTGGCTTTGAAATCAGAGACCTACCTACCTCAGCCTCCTGAGTGCTCAGATTAAAAGCATGCACCACCACATCCAACTAATTTTTTTTACAGCACAATGACTAGAGGCATTAATAGAGACAATACAAAAGCCGAGTAAAATATCTAATATTCAGTAAGTTCTTTGGTTTTGTTTTGGGTTTGTGGTTCCATGATCTCATGAATCTCAACCATGCTCTTATGTTGCCAAGGATAGTCTTGAACTCCTGATTCCACCTATATAAAATTCTCTTTGTGTTGTTTAAGACAAGGTCTCACTATGTAGCTCTGGTTGGCCTAGAACTTAATCTATAAACCAGGCTGGATCCTCCTGCTTCTACCTTTCCAATGTGGAGATTACAGGCATGTGCTGCCATATCAGACTTCAGCTTTAAAACAATGAATCATACCTGGATAAAATGAGAAAGTCAATAATACTGTTAAAAGACAAAAATTTATCTCTATTTGAACCAATTTTTTTCTGGCATATCCTACAGACAACATATATTATCAAGTAATACTTATTGTTTTATATTACTTAACAAAGAATGAAGTGCAAATATTTGAAACAAGTACTTTGCCAACAAAATTATTTCCCACTTTTTTTGGGTCTATGTATGTGACTATGGTGTGCAATAGTGTACATATGTGTATGTACACATATATGTAGAACATATTTGCAAATGTTTGTAAAGGCCAAACAATGGCACTGGGTGTCTTCTTTGATTATTCTATTTACTGAGACAGAGTCTTTCACTGAATCTGAAGCTTGCCAGAGTCCACCTTGCTCTGCAGATTCCCTGTTTCCACTTCCCCATCCTTGAGGTTACATGGTGGCCTTGGGCCCACCCAGCTTTTACATAGGTGGTATGGGTGTCACCCTCATGCTTATATGGCAAGTGCTTTATCAGCAGAGCCATCACCACACCAATCCCTTTATTTTCTTTTTAAGGCAACTCAGAAATGTCAAAAAATGAACAGGTTTAAAATATCATGCCATAGCCATGACTATGCCAAAACAACTAAGCAGGAAGAATTAACTTTTCTTCCAAAAGAAAAGAATAGAGAGTTTATAAGAGCCCTTACAATTATAAGGAAATACTAGCAACAACAGTAAGAAGTTTATTAAAGACAAGGTCTTAGAATATTATTGCTCAGGCTGGCTTCACACTGCTGGGCTGAGGTGATATTCTATCTTTAGCCTCCCTAGTATCTGAGACTATAGATGCACAATAAGCTAACAAACCCAGAGCTTAATGCATACTAATCAGTCCTCTAACACCAATCTACATCCTTAACTCTAATTTTATTGCTAATAGACAGTCAATATTTGTATATATTTACGGGGAACAATGTTAAGAACAGACTAAAATAATCAAATCATGTTAATTATTATCTATCACCTGACATACATTATTTCTTGGTGATAAAAACACCCAGTCTTTTGTATTAGAAGTTTTGAATTAGGAGATGAAGAGATGGCTTAGCAAGTGAAGCACTTTAGGCACAAGCCTAACAACCTGAGTTCAATTACTAAAATCCTCACTGGAAAAACACAATCAAGGCTGTCCTCTCACTTCCACAGGTGGCACACACATGACTGCATTTACATTCTCATATTCTCTCTCTATATATAAAATTTTTTAAAAATAAGACACTCCATTACTCTTAAACACCATTACCATTCTGTGAAGAAAGTAAGTCACTGAGTCTTGGCACTCTTTCACAACACTTCCTTTTTTGCTGTAGGTTCTTAATCCTCTTACATTATCCATAGACTCTGGTAGTCACCTCTGTACTCTGTATTTCTTAGTTCAATTGTTTTTAGATTTGACACATATAAATAGATTATTATTTGTATTTTTCTTTCTATGACAAAGGCATTTTTAAAGCCACATACCAGCAGCCAGCAAATATTTAACCAACTCCAGGTGTCCCTCTTGAGAAGCCTCCATGAGAGGTGTGGAGCAGCCAAGTTCTATATCAGCCCCTGCCTTAATCAGAAAATCTGCAACTTCAGAAAAGCCTCCACAGCAAGCCAAGGTAAGAGCAGTTTCCTGGGTTTCTTCTGTCTGGGCATTTATATTTGCACCTGAAAGCACAACAAAAGAACTAGCCAAAAGAGAATTATAATACAGTATTCAAATAAGATGATAATCACCTACCACCTCTGCTTAGGCTGTTCACTCTAGAGTACGGAGAATTTTCTAAGATTCAAAGTTCAAGGCCTACCTAGGCTACAGAAAATTTATTTTCTCATCAGTGCAAAAAAAGTATCGATTTCAACTGATACACAAAACACACAAGGACATTAATCTTTAAAATGTACAATGGTTTTACCTTGTGCTAACAGCAGTGCCACCATCTCTTCATGCCCTTCCCGAGCAGCTTCCATCAAGGGCGTATATCCTTCATCATTAACTTCTTCAAGATTTGCTCCTCTTTCAATAAGCAGCGCTGCCAATTCAACATGTCCACCACAAGCAGCCAGAGTCAACGGAGACTCAAAGGAATCCGCAGGCATATTCACTTGAGCGCCACTGTCCAAAAGCAAACGTGCCACTTCTACATGCCCATCCTGAAGATGTTCAGAGATAAAACAAAGAACTTTGTAGTTTTATGTTTTGCTTTTTTAAAGTGGAAGGCAAATAAGGGTCTAAAGACAGATTAGCTGACATAGGCTAGATTACACACATTATTATCATGCCACCTGAACCTCACCTAACATCCATTAATACTATTTTTTTAAACGTTTAAGGGGTTGGATAGATGGCTCCGTGGTTAAGAGCACTGACTGGGTTCAATTCCTAATAACCACATGGCAGCTCAAAAATGTCTGTAATTCCAGGATCCAATACACTCACACAGACATACATGCAGGCAAAACACGAATTAACATAAAATAAAATCTTAAAATAATTTAATAAATAATTTAGTAAGTTAAATGTTTATCTTCATTTTCACAAAGTGCAAAATTTTCTAGAACAAATCCGACCAGATAACAAATAGTCACTTCCAAATAACTTTGAATTTTTATAGTTTTTGAAGTTCAGAAAAACTACTGAATTCAGTGAACAGTACCTCAAAAAGAATTACTGTTCATAAAACTACCGGCTCAAATATAACCATATTCTCAAATATAGAGGGTTTCTATTTTCAAATGTAGAAACTGTATTAGATCTTCCTTAGAAAGGAAAGCTTGATCAAAATAATAAACAAACAACACCCCCCCAAAAAAAACCCCAACATAATGAACTGTGAAATCATTACCAATTGGGATTTTGTCACTTAGCTAAATCCCTATGGATTAGTATTGCTCTATCTTTGCTTCATAGCAACCTGTTATACCAAGGCAAAGAATATTTTAAAAACAAAGCTTATATTCGCACGTAAATTATTAGGGTCTTACATATGCTAAGCCCATATTTTAACCACTGAGCTCCTCTCTAGACCTCATTTTTTTTGTTTTGTTTTAAAGATTTATTTATTTATGTGTGCATTTGTATGCCAGTGAGTTTATGGGCACCATGTGCCAGGAGGCCAGAGGGCACTGAATCCTCTAAAGTTAGAATTACAGCAAGTTATGAGTCACCACATGGGTGCTGGGATCTGAGCTTAGGTCCTCTGTGTGAGCACTAAGCACTCTGTGGTTGTTTAGAGACCAGCCCCCACAGATTCGTATGTTTGAATGTCTAGGCCTTAGTGGGTGGAATGTTTGCATAGGATTAGGAATTGTGGCCTTGTTGGAGGAGGTGTGTCACTGGGGTTGGGCCCTGAGATTTCAAAAGCCCACACCAGACCAAGAGTTTTTACTGTCTCTCTCTCTGCCTGATGCCTATAGATCAGGATGTAGCTCTTAGTCACTGCACTAGTACCATACATGCTAGTACATTCCTGCCATGATGATAACAGACAACCTTCTGAAACTATAAGCGAGCCCCCAATTAAATGCTTTCTTTTCTAAAAGTTACCTCGGTCATGGTGTCTCTTTACAGTAATAGAACAGAGACTTTGACACTTAACCTCTGAGTCATCTCTCCAGATTCTCAGTCCTCAGTTTTAAATTCTTAACTTCAAACATTATATTGGCTTTAATATGTGTTACAAGCATGTTATATCATTTTACATTTCAAAAATGATCACAATAACCCTAATAAGAATTAAATTTGGGTGACTGAAGAGATTGTTCCTGGACTAAGAGCACTGGATGCTCTTTCCAGTGCTGGGTTCAATTTTCAGCATCCACATGGCAGCTGACAACTGGCTGGCTATACATCCAGTTCCAGAGAATCCAGCACCCTCTTCTGGCTTCCTTTGGCAAGTCTCACACACACACAAACACACACGCACACACCACGGTACTAAAACCTTGAATTCAAAACTATGGATCGACATAATAGAAGGAATGAATACTGAAATTCAACATTTTAGATTTAGTTATTTTTAGAGTATATAGAATTTCCTTAGTTTATTTTTTATTATATTTTAATTTATTTTATACTGGGGGAAGAGAGGAAGAAGGGGTTGTTGGGAGAGAAAAGAACAAGAATATATGTGCAGGTCAGAGGACAGAGCACAACTTGTAGGGCTGCTTCTCTGTTTTCATCATGTGGGCCAAACTCAAATGTGTGGCAAGCACCATTATCTGCTGAGCTAGCTCATAGACCCTTGGCCAAATCTTAATTACTTTTAGCACAAATGCCAAAACTAGGGGACTTTATATTTAAGAACTGAAAAAAAAAAATAATCCTAGCATTCAGGAGACAGAGGAAAGTGAGTTGAGGCCAGCCTGGTCTACATATCAAGATCTAGGCCAGCCAGGGAACACAGTGAAACCCTGTCTCAAAAACAAAACACAACAACAAAGTCAAACAAAAAACTACCAAAACCAACGACAAAAACAAAACACAAAAAACAAACAAGAAAATAAAAATAAACCCAAAAACATTAAAGCATCAAAATCTCACAAATCAGAGCTAGAGATATAGATAAATGGCTCAGAGGTTTAGAGAATTTGCTACTCTACAGAGGTTCAAATCCCAGCATCCACATGGTGGCTCACAATCACACACAACTGCAATTCCAGAAATCTGATACAATCTTCTGATCCTTGTTGGCACTGGGCATACATATATTACACAGAGATACATACCTGAAAAACATTCATACATGTAAAATAAATATATCTGGAGGAAAAGAAACACCTCACAAATTATCCATTCAATAAACAAACAGGCCAATGAACTGAGTATCTAGTTCTCAATAGAACCTTCCATCATGCTTTGGGGACCCAATTTAGGTTATTTAGCTTGTATATCAAGTTTTTCCTAGTTGAACCAACTCACTGGCCCGCTTTATAGGATTTTAATATGAGTAAAAATGTAGAGAGTGGGGCATGATAGCTTACAACCTGTAATCCCAGCACTCATGAAACAGAGACAGGGAGGATCATAGTAAGGTGTAGCTTCTGCTTCAGACCTATGTGGGCTAATGTGAAACCAATAAGAAAACAAAACAAAACAAAACAAAAAAACAGATATGCATATCAGAAATCTCAATGTTTAACATCTCAAAAATTAAGAGTTTTATTAATATATTTGGGCTGCAGATCAGCAGTTAAGAGCACTGGCTGCTCTTCCAAAAAACCCAGGTTTAATTCTCAAGACTCATACTCTAGTTCCAGAGGACCTGACAACTTTTTCTGAAATCCATGGGCACTATACACACACAGTGCACTGACATACATGCAGGAAATACACCTGTACATACTATTAAAAAAAAAAGAGCCATGTGGTGCCTTTAACCCAGTACTTGGGAGAGGTAGGCACGTCTCTGTAAGTTCAAGGCTAATATGGTCTACAAAGAGCTCCAGGACAGCAAGGGCTACACAGAGAAACCCTGTCTTGAGAAAAACAAAACAAAACCCTAAAAATGTTTCATTAAGATGACTAGTTATGCTAGGTGCATGCCTTTAATCCCAGCACCCAGGAAGCAGAGACAGGCAGATCTCTAAATTTGAGGCCCGCCTGGTCTACATAGAGATCCATGACAGGTACCAAAGTTATAGAGAAACCGTCACAAAAACAAAACAAGAAAGAAAGAAAGAAAGAAAGAGAGAAAGAGAGAAAGAGAGAAAAGAAAAAAAAAAACCAAGCAGGGGAAAAAGATTACCCGTTGCTATCACCCTTTAAAAGTCCATATATTAAAGCATTACTAGTTTTTTTTTTTAAACTTAAAATTCAGTGAAAAATACAAGCCAATGTTTAACAATTTTTAGTGAGACTGGACTCACTTGAAGTGGTTGCCATGTAAGAATAAGAACGTAAGTTTGGTCACCAGAACCCACAGTAAAACAACAACAACAAACAAAAAACAAAAACACAAATAAAACTCTAGGTTTGTTGGTACACAATAGTGAGGTGGAGATATTCAGATCACAGAAGCTCAAAGCAAACCTGCCTATTCTACTTAGGAGGCTCCAGGTCAGTAAGAGAGACCCTGCCTCTACAATTAAGACTGATGTTTGTTTGTCCTGTGGGTTTCGAAAGGCTTATGTACCTTCGTGCATGCATGTGCACGCACACACGCATACACACACACCAGAAACAACAGTAACGATAATAATTCTCACACAAATATATGGATTTTTTCCCACAAAATTTCAAGTGATCACAATTAAATTACCATGCAAGCCTCCATTAAGGCAGTATGCATCTCATCAGTTTTATGCTCTTGATCTGCACCAGCTTCAAGCAGAAATCGAACCATATCCAAATGGCCTTAAAAATAAGGTTAAAGAATTGACTATCAATTGAATGCATAAGTATTAAATTGAAGAGTTTTATTTTCACATGTCTATATATAATCTATGAAGCTTTCATTTGAATTTAATAAATTAATGACAGTTTTACAAAGCCAACTGAAAACAATTAAGTAGGCAGACTCTCAAAAAGGTCATACTACCTAAGTTTTAAAGACTGACTTTTTTTTTTTCAAGATAGGGTTTCTCTGTGTAACAGTCTTGGCCGCCCTGGAATTTACTTTGTAGACGGGGCTGGCCTCAAAATCACAGAGATCCACCTGCCTCTGCCTCCCAAATGCTGGGTTTAAAGGCATACACCATCATCGCTTGGCTAAGATTGACCTTCTAAATCACTTATTTCTAGTTAAAATAATCTTACTTGTTCTTTGATTTTATTTACATAAACTATCAAAACACTGGAATCAAACAGAAAGTCAGGTAAAGTTTATTAGAACGTATTATCTAGAAAACCAGCTTTAAAATCACCATACCCACACTGTGACAATGAGCAGACACACAAAATCAACTCCATTTAAAACAATTGAAGACAGGTGATGGTGCACACCTTTAATCCCAGCACTCGAGAGGCAGAGGCAGGCGGATCTCTGTGAGTTCGAGGCCAGCCGGATCTACAAGATCTAGTTCTGGGACAAGCTCCAAAGCTACAGAGAAGCCCTGCCTCGAAAACCAAAAATATAAAAAAAAAATTCCGAATGAAAAAACCTTAATAATTAATGAGAAAAATACTAATATTTCAGTGTTAAAATAGGTGGAGAATATAAAATGGTAATTCAAAAGATACATAAATGGATAGTAAACTGACAGAAATACTAAATGAGACACCATTATTTTAGCTACCAAAATGGGAAAGAGTAAAGAGAATGATAATGCCCGGTACTGGAGAGGCTGAAAGGTGGGTAAAGGGGTTCTCGGACAACCTAGTGGGGTCTGAGACACCTAGTAAACTAGTCCAACCTTTCTAGAAGGCAATTTGGACGCATGTATCAAAAGCCTTAAAAAGCATCCATACTCTTTGACCCAACAACTCCACTTCCAGAATTTATCCTAAGGAAATAATCAGAGACTAAGCAAAAATTTCTGCACAAGGATGTTATCACAGTGTTTTAAAATAACAGTAAAAAGCTGGGAACAATTAGTGTCCAACAATAGGAAATTATGGTGTATCCATTGAAATTATGGTGTATACATTTCATTTATTTGGCAGAGATTGTGAGTTCCCTACTCAACATCCATTCTTATTATTCTTGAAAAACAGGACTTAGATTTTAGCTAGAGAGCAACATGCCTAACTTTTAAGATTATTTTCCAGCCTTCCTTGTAGCAGAGGGGAGCCTTTGGAACTCAGTGAGAGTTACAAAGTGAAGCTTCTAGAAAGCCTTGTTAAAAGGAAGCTAGTAAATTGGAAGGTTGTTGCTACTTTGTTCTTACCCTCCTTATCCTAAAGTATGTACTGCTGGGCTCGAGCTGCCTCCTGGACTACAGATTAACATTAAGGACAGAAAACATACAGTAGGATGTACAGCAGAATAACACTCTTGGATCTTGATGACAAAAATGAATTACAATACTAACACAAGACAGTTTATGCTTAGGTTTCTCTTCTTTACAAATCACACTGTGTTTTGTGGTATTTGCAGGCAAACCAATCTAGAAAGTCTAACTGAAATAGTATATGATCATTAAAAAATACATTACAAGAACATTTACTGAGATGAGTATATATTTATGATATACTACTAAATAAAATAAACAGACTGTAAAACTGATAAAACTATTTTATTTCACAAATATGTATATTTTTAAAAACTTATATAAAAATACGCTGGACAAATACTAAAATACTGTTTACATGCATTTTCCCCTTTAGATGGTAATTACAGGCCATTTAAATTTCTGTTTGTGCTACAAACATATTTTTCAGGTTTTCTACACCAACTGTGTATCAGTAGATCTGTGTATAATACTTCAATGTAAAAATCATATAAGCCGGGCGGTGGCGGCGCACGCCTTTAATCCCAGCACTCGGGAGGCAGAGGTAGGCGGATCTCTTTGAGTTGGAGGCCAGCCTGGTCTACAAGAGCTAGTTCCAGGACAGGAACCAAAGCTACAGAGAAACCCTGTCTCGAAAACCAAAAAAAAAAAAAAATCATATAGAAAAAGGGTATTAAGTAATGGAAATCCTTAAATCTAAGTTGACATCATAGTTAAATGAATTAAAATAATAATAATAATAATATATATTAATATAGTACGGAAAGCACAGTTAATAATAGGCTTTCCAATATGTTTTGTAACATAAGCTTACACCATAAGAAAAAAAAAACAATATAAATTCAAATACTCAGGTAAAGAAGAAATATAGACGTTAACCCAAATACTCAATACTCAAATATTTGAAGTTGTTATAAAAGCAATTATAAATATTCTGACATAAAAGGTACCTTTGTAGCAGGCAAGTGTCAGAGCACTTTCTTTGAACTCATTAGAATGAGTGTTGATGCCTGCACCGTGATCTAGAAGAACTCTGGCAACTTCCACGTGACCTGCACTGGCTGCTTCCATTAGGGGTGTGTGTCCATTTTCATTATGGTCTTCTATATTTGCACCTTCATTAAGTAGCACTTTTACAATGTCAATAAACCCTCCAGCACAGGCATAAGTAAGTGCAGTGTTCCCTAACAAAGAACAAAAAAAAAAATACAAAATTAACAATAGATGTGTCACACTACTGTTCTAGTTATCTCTCTCCAATTCCTTGACATAAACCACAACTACGATTGCAAGTTATATGCTTTGTTTGTTGTTTTTTTAAGTGCAAGAGATTCAACCCATGGTCTCACACATGCTAGACAAACATGTTCTCCTTTCACCCCCATCCTGTTAGTCTTTCCACATGTTACCCACACTAGTCTGGAACTCACAATTCTCTTGCCTCAACTTCAGGAGTAGCTGGAACTACAAATGTAAAAAATCATCCCCATTTCAGTTTTTTTTTTTTTTACTGTCATCAATTTAAAGCATATCTTTATTTTCTGACAGAATTTCTTCAAAGCATAATACAAAATGCTACATATTTTAATTGTCTAGACAATATAAAAAGCATAGAAAAGGCAAATCTAAATGTCAAAAACAGAATAGTGGTTGCTTAAAGAACAGAACACAAATGGGTAGAGATCCTTTTCTTATTTATTTTAGATTCATTTATGAGTGTTTTGCCCACAGTCATGTATATGTATATATGTGCACCACATGTATGCCTGGTGCTTGAGGAGGTAAGAAGAGGGCATCAGATTCTCTGGCACTGGAATTATGGATAGTTTTGAACCTAAATGTGGGCGCTGAGACTGGAACCCTGGTTCTCTGTAGAGATCTTTTAATAGTGACAGAAGTAATCTAAAACTAGACTGCATAACCTCTAGAACTGCACACTTAAAACATGAATTCTACAGGATGAGTCATCTTAATAAAGCTGGTATTTTATTTTATGATGGAGGAAGGTCATTGATTAAAAAATAAAGAAACTGCCTTGGTCCATTTTATTGGTTAGATCATAGGTGGTTGGAGTAAACAGAACAGAATGCTGGGAGGAAGAGGAAGTGAGCTCAGAGACGCCATGCTCCCCTCTCCCGGGCAGACACATGAAGCTCAGACCCAGGATGGATGTAGGCTAGAATCTTTCCCGGTAAGACTGATGCTACACAGATTATTAGAGATGGGTTGATCGGGATATGAGAATTAGCCTGTAAGGGCTAGAGTTAATGGGCCAAGCAGTGTTTAAAAGAATACAGTTCGAAAAACCAAAAAAAAAAAAAAAGAATACAGTTTGTGTGTTGTTATTTCTGGTGTAAAACTAGCCGTGTGGGAGCCGGGCGGGACGAAAAGCAGGCCCGCAGATCCTACTACAATTTTATCTTCTCCTGAGCCTCAAGACAGGGTTTCTCTTTAGCTTTGGAGCCTATCCTGGAACTAGTTCTTGTAGAACTGGCTGGTCTCAAATTTGCAGAGATCTGCCTGCCTCTGCCTTCCAAGTGCTGGGATTAAAAGCATACACCACCACCACCTGGCTGTCTGTTTTATTTTTGAGACAAAAGAAAATTAAAAAAAAGAAAAATTATCTTTAGTTATGAGTGTTATATGTGAGAGCAGGTGGGCATACATGTCTGTTGGTATGCATGCATGTAGAAGTAAGAACTCAAATTTTAGGAAGTGGTCTTCTCCGTTCAATCTTTATGTGGGTTTCAAGGATCAATCTGGGTCATCAGGCTTGACTAGCAAATGTTTTTACCAAGCTGAGTCATTGTATTGGCCTGGGAACTATATTTTTAATAATCACTAAATAATTCTGGCATACAGTAGAGGTACAGTCTATTGAACAAAATGAATAAATTTGGGGGCTGAAGAGATGGCTCACTGGTTAAAATCATAAGATTGTCTGGGTGGTAGCAGCGCACGCCTTTAATCCCAGCACTCAGGAGGCAGAGGCAGGTGGATCTCTTAAGTTGGAGCCCAGTCTGGTCTACAGAGTGAGTTTCAGAACTATACAGAAAAATCCTGTCTCAAAAAACAAAACCAAAGCCAGGCGATGGTAGTGCACGCCTTTAATCCCAGCACTCGGGCAGAGGCAGGCAGATCTCTGTGAGTTCAAGACCAGCCTGGTCTACAGAGCTAGTTCCAGGAGAGACTCCAAAGCCACAGAGAAACCCTGTCTTGAAAAAAAACAAACAAACAAACAAACAAATAAACAAACAAAAAAACCCAAAAAACCAAAACCAAACCAAACATGAAATTGGAGTTTAGATCACCATACCCACATAAGCCAGACATCCTGCACATGCATTGGACACCAGCTCTGAGAGAGGTAGAGATAGGTTGCTGGCTGTTGGCTTAGTCAAGAAAACAAGAGTCCTAGAAAAGTAGGCAGTGACAGAGATGGATACCTGATGGCCTCTTCTGTCTTCCATGTGTGCATACAAGAGCATGCAAAATAAGTATATCAATTAATTAATTAAAAAGTAGCTTGATTAGGAATTTACTTATAGGAAGATGAATCAACTTCTTTTTGAAATTTTACATTTTTTCAATTAAATAGAAATTTTGAGTGGAAATGGGAGGGCAGGGGTGAAGTATTTTCATTAGTCATTTATAGAGTATACTAAGAGTCCATTGGCACATACCTACTTGCTGATGGCCAGGCTTCTTTCTGAATCCCAGCACTCAGGAGGCAGAGGCAGGTAGATCTGAGTCTAAATTTTGAGTTCCAGGACAGCCAAGGCTACATAGTAAGGCCTTGTCTCAAAGCCCCTAACCTCAAATAAACAAAATAAAAATAAAATTCTAGCCAGGCGATGGCGGCGCATGCCTTTAATCCCAGCACTCAGGAGGCAGAGGCAGGCGGATCTCTGTGAGTTCGAGGCCAGCCTGGCCTACAGAGCTAGTTCCAGGACAGGCTCCAAAGCCACAGAGAAACCCTGTCTCGAAAAACCAAAAAAAAAAAAAAAAAAAAAAGTAAAAAAATAAAATTCTAAAATACTATTCAAAATTACTTTCCTTTGAATACTGTATAGCTTAGAACATTTAACATTTTATTTCTATCCACTGATTTTTTTAAAAACTTTTTAACAGATCAAATCAAAAGATAATTCACTGTATTGGATACACTTCCTCCAGACATCTATCTTCTATTAAAAGATTAATTTTTTATTATACATATATCAATGTGGATATGTACACATGTATGCAGGTGCTGGCAGAAGCAGAGGTGTTAGATCCTCCTGGAGCTAGAATTACAGATGGTTGAGAGCCGTCTGACATGGGGCTGGAAAATAATCTTGGGGAATAAGCAGTATTGGATCTTAAATGGCATACCATCTCTCCAGATCTGAGAAAAATATCTTACACTTATATTCACAACATAACCACAAGATAGGTATACATTCCTCTCATCTTAACACCTTCAAGAAAAAATACCATTTTTTTTTTTTAATTTAATGATACAGTTTGCCACTCTGTAGTCCATGCTGGCCTAGAACCCATAGTAATCCTTCTCTGGCTTCAGGCTCGGAAGTTCTGGGATTATAGATGTGTCACTAAACCTTGTTTGAAGGAAGCCCCCATATGCTCATTGTTTAAATACGTGGTCCCCCATTGGTGGAATGATTTGGAAAGTGTGGTCTTGTGGGAGGACATCTGTCACTGAGATGGTCTTTGAAGTCTTGTGCCATTTCCAGTCTTCTTTCTGCCTCCTGCTTAGGGATCAAGATGTGACCTGTCAGCTATTTCTGTCAGCATGCCCTTGCTCTGCCATCATGGATTCTAACCCTCTGAAGTTGCAAATTCAATTAAATGATTGCTTTTATAAGTTGCATAGGTCATAGTGTTTTATCACAGCACTAGAAACCCTAACTAATATAGAAGTTGGTACCAGAGAGTGGGTTATTGATGTGACAGACATGACCATGTGGGACATGACATGGGGAAGAATATAAAAGAGTTTGGGACTTTGGAATAGAAAAGCAGTTGAATGCTGTAAGCAGACCTTAATAGACCATTTCTAGCAGGACCTTGGGAGATAGTACTGAGAGATATGACTATGGAGGCCTAACTCAAGAGGTTTCAGAGAGAAACAATATTACCAGCTGGGCTAGAGACCATTCTTGTGATATTTTGGCAAAAAAATGAGACAGCCTTCTGCTCTTTTCCCGAAAATCTGCCTGAGGCTAAAATGACAAATAACAAAAAATTCTTTGTTGCAGATTTTGAAGATTATTGACTCTGTGCAAGGTTATTAGTAATCATTCTTATGTAGGACTACAATGAAAATGAGCAAGTGGGACAAAAATAAATAAAAGTTATACAGTTTGAAGAGAAAAAGAGCATGAAGAAATTTAATGTCAGAGTTAAGGTTTATGCTGAAATAGGTAAGGAGATGAAGGTGAGGCCTGATCCCTATAGAAATAAAGGGAAGACCCCCACCCAACTAAGCTCACAACTTATAAAAAGGCTTAAGAAATTTTCTGTTTGGGCTGGAGAGATGGCTCAGAGGTTAAGAGCATTGCCTACTCTTCCAAAGGTCCTGAGTTCAATTCCCAGCAACCACATGGTGGCTCACAACCATCTGTAATGAGGTCTGGTGCCCTCTTCTGGCCTGCACCACAGACAGAATATTGTATACATAATAAATAAATAAATAAAAATAAATATTAAAAAAAAAAGAAATTTTCTGTTCCTAGAAAGCAACAATGAACAAAAGCTACTGTAAATATGGATTAAGGGGATCAAGCTCCAGTCCAAGCAGGCAGCTGAACTTAGCAGTTTTGTCCATGTGGTGGGCCCGTGAGGCCATTTCATAAAGCTGTCAAGGCAACAGCTGGACTGCATTGGAGAACCCAAGATATTACAGGTACCAGAACTATAGGATGTCTGCCAGGGAAAGCTGCATACAGGGGATGGAACCAGCCTAGGAAAATGAAGTGTGTTGCAGGCTGCAAAGTAGGAAGGGAAGAACCATCTAAGTCCTTTGATCTCACACATGGAGCTACAGGATTTGGAGTTTGCTCTGCTGGTTTTCCATCTTGGTCTAGTATTTCTTCTCTGTACCCCATGCCTCCCTTTTGTAATAGTAATGTATATTCTGTGCCATTGTATACTGAAAGTATGTAATTTTTTTCTGATTTTAAGGGGGGTTACAATTAAGAGATTGCCTTGAGCAGTAGTTTACAACCTTCCTAATGTTGTAACCCTGTAACACAGTTACTTATGTTTTGGTGACCCCACAACCATAAAATAATTTTCATTGCTACTTCATAAATCTAATTTTGTTACTGTTATGAATCATAATGTACTTAAGTATCTGTGTTTTCCAATGGTCTTTGGTCACCCCTGTGAAAGGTGATCTGACCCCGGACATGTCGTGACTCACTGGTTGAGAAACATTAGCCTTAAATCTCAGAAAAGACTTAAACTTTAAAACAGTATAGAAACTGTGAAAGACTATAAGGACTTTTAAAGGTGGACTAAATGTATTTTGCATTATGATATGGCCACAAGCCTATTGGGAGTCATGGAGTGAAATATAGTGGTTTGAATGAGAATGGCTTCCTTAGGTTTATATGACTAGATATGTAGCCCTCAGTTTGTGGAACTGTTTGGGAAGGATAAGCAGGTGTAGTCTTGGAAGAAGCGTGTCACTAGGGACTAGCTTTATGGTTTCAAAAGATTTCTGCCATTCCAAGTGTGTTCTCTCTCTCTGCTTTCTACATGAAGATCAAGATGTGAGTGTTCCCTGCCGGACAGCAGTGGCACACGCCTCCCTAGCACTAGGGAGGCCCAGGCAGGTGAATCTCTGGGTTCAAGGCCAGCATGGTCTACACAGTAAGTTTCAGGACAGCCAGGACTGTTACAGAAAAACCCTGTCTCAAAAAACTGAAAACAAAAAAAAAGTCTTCTCACATCTATTCTTATGTCATGTCTTTGCTTCACTATGACAGACTCTAATGCTTTCAAACTATAAACCCAGTTAAATGCTTTCTTTTAGAAGTTATTTTGATCATGGTGTTTTGTCACAGCAACAGGAAAGTAACTAATTTATGATAACTAGTAACTAGTATCTGGTTTATGTGATGCTAGGAATCGAACTGAGGGTTTCACACATGCTTGGTAAGTACCATACCAACTTATTTACATTCCCAGCTCCAGATCTAAATTTAAATCATACTTTTAATATATATCAGTAGATAGCCTATTAAAATTCTCTTTATGGCATTTTAAAAAAAGAAGAGGGAGAAGTTGGGGATGGGCAGCATTTTCTTATTAATAAATGTATTCAGCAGACCATAAATAAAAATCTGATACCATAAACACAAAGTCAAAGGAGCTATATAAGGAAAGGAACTACAGGAGATATAGCTCATAACTTTTTCTTTATATATTACATATCACTGGGACAAAAGAAATAATCTGTAGCAGAAAAACTATTCATCTTGACCAAACAGAACCTACATAGTTTGTTTTTGAGATAGTTTTATTATTTATTTATTTGGTTTTTCGAGACAGAGTTTCTCTGTGGCTTTGGAGCCTGTCCTGGAACTAGCTCTGTAGACTAGGCTGGTCTCGAACTCACAGAGATCCACCTGCCTCTGCCTCCCAAGTGCTGGGATTAAAGGCGTGTGCCATCACCACCCGGCTGAGATAGTTTTATTATGCAGACTAGAACTGTACTGGAAGACCCTATATATCCAATATGTGTTTCAAACAAACAGCAATCCTCCTGCCTTAGGTTCCTAAGAGCTAAGATTTATACACAAGTGCCTCTTTATGCTTTAAGTTTATGTTAGATTTGCTGTTTTTGGAAACAGAACCTTGCTATCAACCCCAAAATATCCCCAAATTCAAGAAGCCCCCACTTTAGCCTCCTGAGTGCTAGAATTTCAGTAAGGTTGCACACTGACTTAAAGACTTTTCACCCAGGAATGATGGTACATGCTATAATCCCTAAACTCTAAAGGCTGAAAAGAGGATTTTTGAGTGTAAAGCCCTTCTGGTCTACACATTGAGACCATAACTCAACAATTACAACAAAGACTATTAAAGATATCAAAGTCAATATTATTTTCAGAAGGTTTCCATTCATTTCTCCCAATAATCTAATCTTTAAAAATTACATTTATTTGTTTTCTGTGTGTATGAGGTGGGATATGTGTATGCCATGACTCGAAAGTGAAATAAGAGGTCAACTTTCAAGAGCTGGTTCCCTCCTTCTGCCATCTGCACCCTGGAAACTCAACTGTGTTATTAGCCCAGGCAAGGGCCTTACCTGCTGTGCTACCTCACCTCACCAATGCTCTAGTAATCAAATTTACTTCTTCTTTTTTCACTTTATGTGCTGTATTGGTTTTTGTCTGTATGTATGTGTGAGAATATCAGATCCCCTGAGAAAGAATACAGATAGTTGTGAGGTGACATGTGGGTGCTGGGGACCGAACCCAGGTCCTCTGGAACAACAGCTGGTCCTCTTAACCTCTGAACCATCTCACCAGCCACTGCAGTAATCAAATTTTTATAATAAATTACATTTTCTTTCTTTTCCTTTTTTTTAAAAAATTTTTGCGACAGAGTTTTCCTATGTACCCTTGGCTGTCCTAGAATTCACTCTGTAGACCAGGCTGGCCTTAAACTCACAGAGATCCACCCGCCTCTGCCTGAGTGTGGGGATTAAAGGTGTGCACCACTACTGCCTGGCAGTCAGTTTATAATGTTAAAAAAAATATGTCAGTTTTTCCTTTATGTCAATTTCTACATACCCGTTGCTGACTGGGAGTTGACATCTGCATCATGAAGAAGTAATAATTTCACAATATCTAAATAACCTCCACTGGAAGCTGCCATCAGAGGAGTTATATCTCCTTTATTCCCTCTATCTTCAACATTAGCATGCATAGCTAGTAGTACCTTTAAAAACACACAAAGAAGTTGTTATTGCTTACTATTAATAATACTTACAGACAAAATATTCAGTTTGAGACGATAACCTTTTGAGATATGGATAAAAAGATAGGTAAAAATAATCACCTGTTAGGAAAATTCAATTTTTACTGGTCAAGATGACAGGTCAGATCATATATTTTCCCAATACTATTTGAGAGACAAGATCTCATGCATCTGAAGCTGGTCTTAAACTAAGTGGGCAGCCAAGTACAACCTTGAATCCCAAGCCCTCTTGTCTCCACAACCCAAACACTAGGGTTATAGGCATGCACTACCACTTCTACCTATTACATGTCAATTTTTTTTTAAAGAATTACTTATTTACTATACATACAGTGTTCTGCCTGCACACCAGGAGAGGGCACCAGATCTCATTACACATGGTTGTGAGACACCATGTGGTTGCTGGAAATTGAACTCAAGACGTCCGAAAGATAGCCAGTGCTCTTAACCTCTAAGCCATATCTCCAGTCCCCCATGCTAATCTTTAAATAAAGATCTCATTAGCCATCCTATTATATATGTCTGCTCTTGTAAAAGAATTTGTGCTATGCTTGAGATTATATAGAAAGAGAACAATAAAAATAGTTTATTTTTCAATATTGCTCCACGTAGAAGAAAAAAATTAGAACAGGATATCCTATCTGAATGGAGTAAATAAACTTCTACTTTCCTTTATAGTTATATTTTTATGTTTTTTATTGCTTTTTTTTTTTTTTGAGACAGGGACTTACTACCTAGCTCAGCTGGTCTCGAACTTATCTGCTTGCACCAGTGCAGGTGAGCACCACCATCACATTAATTCTCTTTGTGTGAACAGGCACACAAGGATCACAGCACACAGGTGGAAGTCAGAGGACAACTTGCAGGAACTGAATCTCTCTCTCTCTTCACTACGTGGGCCCCAGTAATCAAACATAAAATCAGGCCTCCATCCCACCTGACCAGTTATATATTTTATTTTCTTTTTAAAATTATTTTGGGTGTATGTGTGTTTTGCCTGCCTGTATGTCTGTGCATCACATCCTTGCACAGTGCCTATAGAGCTCATAAGGCTCTGGAACTGGAGTTACAAATGATTGTGAGCTGCCATGTGGGTGCTGGGTCCTCTTGAAGAACAACCAGTGCTCTTAACCACTAAGCCACCTCTCAGACCCCAGTTACATACTATTTCTTTTCCTTTCCAAGAAAGGATTTCTTTGTGTAGCCTTGTCTGTCCTAGAACTCACTCTGTAAACCAGGCTAGCCTTGAACTCAGAGATCCACCTGCCTTTACTGCCTAAATCCTGGGATTAAAAGTGTGTGCCACTACTGCCTGGCTTATCAACCTTTTTTTGTTATTGTTGTTGTTTAGAACTGAGGATATGGTGCAGTGCAGTAGATAGTGTTCACCATGAAGACCTGAGGGAGGGCTGGAGTTCCAAGAACTTGAGAGGCAGAAACAGGAGATCTCCAGGGCAAGCAGGCTAGCTAGAGAAGCAAATTGGTAACTCCAGGTTCACCAGAGTAAAAGATCCTATCTCAGTGAATAAAGTGGAGAATGGTCAAGGAAGACACACCTAATATCATCTTCTGCCCTACACAGCCCCACACATATTCAAACATACACACACAACATATGTACACAAAAATTCCAAAAACAGAAGACCTCAAAATATGATTATTCAGTGATTCTTACTCAATAGGGTAAGCTTTGAATACATGATATAAAAATAAACTAGCTACACACACACAGACACACACACACAAAATGAATTGTGTATATTTCTAAGAGAAAGGGAAGGGAGGATTTGGCCTCTAATCATATTTTCTTTTATAAGTAATAAAAATAACTAAAATACCCAAGCCTCTCTATAATTTTAAACACTAATGATTATTTCGGGGCTGGGGATGTAGCTTAGGGATAAAGCACTTACCTCATATTCACGAGACCCTGATTTGATGATCCCCGGCACTACTAAAATGAATAAAGATTATTTCTGCTTACTTGTGCCAGTTCATAATATCCTGCTGAACAAGCCAAACACAGCAGGCTTTCTCCTTCTTCTGTATGTTCATTTACACTTCTGCCTTCATCTAGCAATTTGCGAACAGCATTTACATCTCCATCTGAACAAGCTTCTGCCAGACTGCGACTACAATCAAACATTATATGAAATTAATGGATGGAAAAGGACTCGTGATCCTATGATACAAAATTAAATCGAACATACACATATAAAAAATATACTAAGATAAACTAGCATGAGTATTTTATGTGCCAAGCATCCTATCCCTAACTGTAATTATATACATGCTTCAACTAGGTAAAAATAAGAATTTGAAAATAACTGTCATTTTTATTATTATTATAGATATATTTTTGAGTTATAGACAATTGTTAGCCACCATGTGTATCCTCTATAAGAGCAGCAAGTGCTCCTAACTGCTGAGCTATCTCTTCTGCTCTATTTTTATTGTTTTTTTTTTAAGTAGTATATACAGTAAGGGTTTCATTACCAGATTTTCCATACATGCTTTATTTCTGTTGATTCTCTTCTCTTCCTATACTGCTTTCCCAACAATCTTCTCCCAATAACAGCTGTTTTTAGTTTTCAAAATCTTCTTGGTAAAATTTTTATATCTGAAGTTGACTTCACAAAATAGCAATCCTCAAAGCTTACAGAATCAAAGCAACTAATAGAATCACTGTTGGTTGTTTTAGATCTAGAAGTAACTTGTGTTTGCTTACTGATATGGGCCTAATGTAATCCAGAAGGCCCCCAAACTCTATTACGTAATGCTAGGATTACACTCACACTTGACCAAACCTGGCTCTGCTACAGATTCTGACAGGCACAGAGGGATTGAAGGCCAGTAAGATGGTTGAGTGGGGAAAGGCAAGTGCTGTCAAGCCTGATAATCTGAGTTTCAAACCTTATTGGCCCTCAGGCTCTGAAATCTCAAGTTTACTAAGACATGAATGCTGATTTTTAAAATGCAACAATACTGGAGGTCCTAGAAGGATATTTGAGCAATATTTTTAAAAAGACAGGTCTTTCTACATAGCCCTGGTTGTCCTGGAACTCACTAAGTGGACCAGACTAGCCTAGAACTCAGAGATTCACCTGCTTCAGCTTCCCAAGTGCTGAGATTAAAGGCATGGGCTACTGGTGCCATTTTAGCAATTTAAGATTTTGAAAGTTATATATAAGCTTAATTTATCCAAAATCACATTTAGACAACAGATCATATAACAGCAGCAGTGAAAGCATCAGCACTAGTTCTGCAGTGGATTCCTTAGCAGAGAAAACAGTAGGATCTCAGGGTGAATTATTAGCTTTTTTTTTTACATTTATTTAAATATGTGTATGCGTGTGTACATGTATACGTTTACCTTTGTCACAGAACGAATTTATGGAGTTTATTTTCTCCCTCTAACATGTGTGTCCCAAGAATCAAACCCATATAATTATGCTTGGCAGTTAGACCTTTCACTACTTTTGTGCCATCTTTCTGGGCCAGAGATATTAATTTCAAATCCCAAAACATCAGCAAGAAAATAATTCTTCTGGTATAAGTCTCATAGTAGAACTATTCTTATCCAAAGAATATTCTTATCCAAAAAATAATCATTGTGAGGCTCGAGAGATGACTCAGTAGTTAAGAAAATTTATTTTTCCTGCTGAGGACCTGGGTTCAGTTCACAGCCATCTGTAACTTCAATTACAAAGGCTCTGTCAATCTGACACTCTTCTTCACAAGCATCAGGCATACATGTGATGCAAATATACACATGCAGCATGTATTCTCACACATCAAGTAAAGTATTTTTAAAAATAATACTGTCATCATAAAATTAGAGTGTTAGCCAGTTAATTTACAGTAATCATAATCTACGAATGAATCCTAAGTTCTTGTAATTAAAATTAACATCACAGTTTTGGCCCTACTACTTGTGTTTGCTTTTTTTGTTTGTTTTTCTTTATCCACACAGGGTTTCTCTGTGTAGCTTTGAAGCCTGTCCTGGAACTTGCTCTGTAGACCAGGCTGGCTTTAAAACTCACAGAGATCCACCTGCCTCTGCCCCCCAGGAGCTGGGATGGAAGGTGTGGGCCACCACCAATTGGCTTCTGCTACTTGTGTTAACAAACACCATTGTAACAGACTGCATAAAAGTCACCCATAATGAGTCCCATTAACTGGTCTGTTGTTCTTTGAGACAAGGTTTCATTATTTTGTCTCTGGCTGTCCTTGAACTCATAGATCTGCTTGCCTCTGTTTCCTTAATGAGTCAGATTAAATGATTTTTTTTTGCAAAGATACTATTTTTTCCCTTTGTAAAAAAGACATCTTTTGAGGCATTAGGTGAACAAGCTTTTTAAAGGCTACTACCATACTGATCCACAAAGATATTTGTGTACATGAACCTATGGCTTAAAGTCTTACTGTGGTTAAAAAACAGTTGCTGTAAAATAACTTACTGATCCTGGCAGTGATGGGGCACATCTTTAATCCTAGCACTCAGGAGGCAGAGGCAGGGGATCTCTGTAAGTTTGAAGTCAACCTGGTCTACCGAGTATGTTCCAGGATGGCCAGGACTACACAGTAAAACCCTATCTCAAAAAACAAACAAACCAATAAATAAAACCAAATTCTTTCCTTCCTTCCTTCTTTTTTTTCTTTTTTGGTTTTTCAAGACCCGTTTCTCTGTAGCTTTAGGGCCTATCCTGGAACTAGCTCTTGTAGACCAGGCTGGCCTTGAACTCAGAGATCTGTCTCTGCACCCTCCCCCTCAAGTGCTGGGATTAAAGACAAGCACCACCACCACCCAGCTCCTTTTCCTTTCATTAAGACAGACTCATGCTAGTCTCGGCAGTTCTCAAACTAACTCACTATGTAACCCAGGCTGGCCTTGAATCCACACCAGTCATCTCATTTCTGTCTCACAAGTGCTGAGATTACAGGTATGCCAGCACACATAATTTAAATCCAGGAAACTACCTATATTGCCTATTAAAATGCAGATTTTGATCCAGGACATCAGGATTACAGTCCAGGCTTTCTCATACAGCTCAGGCCAAGTTCAACTTCATTATATAGCCATGGCTGGCCTTGAATTGTCAATGCTCCTGCCTCTACCTACAGAGTGCTAAGTATTACAAACATATGCCACCACACATAGCCTAAGACTGTACCCTTCAAACAAGCTCTGATATATACTCATTCTCCACAGACCATATTTAAACAACCAGCAACTAGACTGTTAAGTAATCCATTTAATTTATAACTAATCAAGTAGTCAGGTTAGAATTACTGTAACCTTTAGAATGTGTAACTTATTTTGAAGTAGGAACTAGGTCTTATTCAGTTTAGATTTCTCATATACTAAAATACTGAATACCCACAAAAATGCTTAATAGTGAATGCAAATCTAAGTACAATGGCTCACACTTTTAACACCAGCATTCAAGGAAGCTGAGGTGGGACTGCTGAGAATTCAAGGGCTACCTGGGCTACAGAGTGAGATCTTGTCTCAAAAATAAAACCAGTACCCAGCAGTGATGTGGGATGCCCTTCTGTATGCTGTGAATATATTTTATAACAATTGGTTAATAAAAAAGCTGCTTTAGCCTATAGCAGGGCAGAATATAGTTAGGCAGAAAATCCAAGCAGAGAAACGGAGAAAGAAGGAGGAGTTGGGAAGATGCCAACAGTCACTGGGGAAGCAAGATGTGAGGTAACAAGCCATGAGCCTCATGGCAAAATATAGAATAATAGAATTGGGTTAATTTAAGTTATAAGAGTTAACTAAGTCTGAACTAATAGGCCAAACAGTTTGTAATCAATATTTAGCCTCAGAGTGAAAATTAGGGAACTGGCAGGTGTGAAAGAAACCTCCAGTTACACAGCAGGGTGAGGCATCTTTAATCCCAGCATTTAGGAGGCAGAGAAAGGTAAATCTCTGTGAGCTGAGTCTAGCCTGATCCACTTAGCATATTCCAGGATATGTAAAGCATTCCAGACTAGCCAGGGTTACTTAGTGAGACTTTGTTTCAAAAAACAAAACGAGCATTTTCTAGTCCATGCAGTGTTTTTGAGGGGAGAGGGGGTACATGTGTAGTGACCATACATACATGTAAATAGTCATACACGTAAGAATAAAAAAAAAAATCACTTAACTCTAGCATTTAAAAGAGGCAGACAGATCTCTGAGTTCGAGGCTAGCTGATCTACAGTGAGTTCTAGGACAGCCAGGGCTATATAGAGAGATTCAGCTTCAAAAAAGTTTCATATAGTATGTACATATTCATGTATCAACCTAAAATGTAACATCTCCTCAAATACCCACTTGGCTCACATTTTTCCAAAAAAACATTTAATACTAACTAGCAAAGTATCAAATACATACGTGTCCACTTGTCCTGTACTGTGTGTGTTCTCTGCTCTCATGCGGGTCAGTGCAGCAGCAGCTTCATCCAGTGCACAACTAACTGAAGATGTCAGTCTCCGGAGTACTTCAGGATCTGCAAAAGCTTTACCATCAGCAGTTGACAATTTGCCAATTCCTTAGTCAATGAGGCAATGCAGGGAAAGAAAAAGCAAAAATTGTTGAAATTATATTTTAAGCACCATTACACATGTCAAAGAAATGACATAGACACCATATATGAACCTGACAGTAAAAAAATAAGGTTGATGATTTTAGTTCTACCACTAACGTCAAGCCATACATATTAACTTTTCCTACACCTAATTCTGAATTTGACTTAATATGATCCTTATTGTACCAAATGAGTAATTCACTTGAAGAACTGTCAAAAAAAAAATCAATAAACTCTCTAGCATACGACACTTGCCCACTCTATTTTCAGTAACAATGTAATTTATAATAAACAATCCAACATTTTTTCCCCATTTTGGTCAAATCCACTTAACATCTTCTGGAGTAATGTTTTAAATTGAGTCTGACAGATACTATAAATGAAAAACCAAAATATGCAACACCCAATGAATTTATTTAATTTATAAATAGGTTTCAAAATTTCTTTTATATCCTTTGATATGAAATGTTAAAAGGCTGTTAACAATCTTTCTGAACCTCTAACAGTATACTGAGATTTTGGTTTTCATTACTGTTATTATTTTGTTTGCACGAGCATGTATGTATAGGAGAGTATGGTGTACGTATATATAGTGTATGTACATGTGTGTAGGTACACATGCTTTTGTGTATGCCAGAGGAGGGTATCACATGTCTTGCTTTAGTACTCTCCACATTGTCCTTCTAAATTCAGTCTCTCACTGAACTAGTAGCTAGGCTGACAACCAGCAAGCCCCAGGGAATCTCCTGTCTGCTTCCCCCATAGCACTGGAGTTACAAGCCTGCCACACCTGACTTTTTATGTAGTGTGGGATCCAAACTAATGCCCTCATACTTGCACAGCAAGCACTCTTATCCATGGAGACATCTATCCAACACCTCATATACATATACACACATACATATACATACATATATTTAATTAATTATTTTTTGGTATGGACTTGCTGTATGACCTAGGCTGGTCTTGAACTTCTGATCCTCTTGCCTTGAGTTTCCTGAGTACTGAGATCATCTGTGCTTACCGCATACCTGGTTAGTAGTACAAGGAAGCTAACTTATGAGCTTTAAGACTTTTTATTTTGAATTTTCAGTTTTTTAATAGTCTTCATTCCCCTGGCTTTTATATTGTCTAGGCTGGTCTCAAATGTAACGCACAGACGAAGCTGGCTCTGAACTCCTGATCCATCTGCCTCTAACCCACAACTGCTGGGATTATAGGTATATAACACAACGCCAGCTAACAGCTAATATAAAGTAAACATATGGCACTTAATGTATAGCTATCTTTTTTTTATTATTTTATTTATTTATTTGAGACAAGGTCTCTCTTTGTAGTCCTGGTTATTTCTTTATTTGGGCCTTCTTGAGGGAACAGGGTCTCTCTATGTGGTCCTGGCTGCCCTGGAACTCAATGTGTAGACCAGGTACCTAGTCTCAAACTCAAGAGATACACCAGACACTGCCTTTTGAGTACTGGGATTAAAGGCATGTACCACCAATGCCTGGCTTAGGTACTATTTTAAAAATAGAATATATGAGGAAATAATATGGCTAATCAAGTAAAAGCACCTGCTGCCAAGCATGATGACCCGAGTTTAACCTCAGTGACCCACAAGATAATAAGAGAAAATTAACTCCTGAAAGTTATCCTTTGACCACCAAACTCATGATGAGGCACAAGTACCCACATACATACATATGCACATAATAAAAAAGAAAAACAAACATAACAAAAATTAAATAAATAATTTTAAATAAATAATAAATTTATTAACCTATTAATTTCTCTAAAAAAAATTTTGTTTTTGAGATAGGGCCCATGTAGTCAAGGCTGGCCTTCAATCGCTAATTCTTTTACCTTAGCCTCCCAGGTGCTAGAAGCACAGGTATGAGCCACCATACCTACCTAAACATACAGTCAAGAAAAAAAAAAGAATTTCACTTTACAGGCCAGGATGGTCACAGATTTGTACTAATCTTTCTACTTCAGCCTCCCAAGTGACAGAATTGAAAGCATGCACTCCAAAAAGTTGGCTAGACTTCCTTCTTTTGTTTTGTTTTGTGAGAAAAGGTCTCACTATGGAGGCTAAACTGTTCTTGAATTTGAGGCCCTTCTTTAGCTTTGGTGTCCCAGGAGACAGGATTATAGACTTGTGCTACCATACCACACCCTGTTCTAGATTTCTGTATTTCAGAGACGATAAAAGGCTTTAATTGCAGGGCAATGGAAACTCTGCATAATAAATAATGAGTAGACTGTACATTATAAAATAATAAGCAGGGGCTCAGCAGTTAAACTCAGTGGCTGCTCTTCCAGAAGACCTGGGTTCAATCCTCAGCACCCACATGGCAGCTCACATCTGTCTATGATTCCATTCCAGGGCTTCTGACACCCTCACACAAAAAAAAAAACATGCAGGCAAAAAACCACCAATGATCATAAAATTTAAGTAACAATAAGTTAAAAAATAAGTACATATTATTTTAAGAAAATATGTGTGCTTTGTTTCTTTTTTAAGTCTGTAACTTATAACTATGATCCATGTGTCTCAGCTTCCCTTACACATATGTACAACACCCAGTGAGAAAGCAGGTTTATCATATATCATTTCTGTGCATAGATATTTTAGTTTTTTTATGTATACTGAGAGACCCATGTGGGTGCTGGGAATTGAACTCAGGTCCTCTGGAAGAACAGCCAGTGCTCTTAACTGCTCAGACACCTCTCCAGCTCCTGAATCGTTTTTTCGAGACAAAATTTCATACTGCAGCTCCAGCTGGCTTGGAAATCACTATGTAGTCCAGGCTGTCCAGCAAAATAATAGATAGCCCTATACAGGGCAAGAATTATAGGTATAAGCTACCACATTACACCTATCACACATTTTCTTTGCTGGTACTTCAAAACTAGTAGTTTGGCATAGCCTGGTATATTTTAGTCTAAGTTTGTGCCTCACTTAAAAATAAAAACAGTGGTGGCTCAGAGGTTAAGAGTACTTGCTGTACTTCTAGAGGCCCTGAGTTCAATTCCCAGCAACCACATGGTGGCTCACAACCATCTACAATGAGATCTGGTGCCCTCTTCTGGCTTGCAGGCACAAGTGCAAGCAAAACACTGTATACATAATAAATAAATCTTTTTTAAAAAAGTATAAAAAAATAAAAATAGCTAAATTATAGAAATTTAGGTAATCAGTAATTAAAATGAATAAGTAAACAATATTAGAATTTCCTGAATAGGTTCAAATACAGTAAAAATTTTATAAACTACACTTAACTCCTATTTTTTATGCACCTGTTTTCCTTGATAACTAAATATCTTTATTAACTTAAAAAATTATTCATTCGGGGGCTGGAGAGATGGCTCAGTGGTTAAGAGCATTGCCTGCTCTTCCAAAGGTCCTGAGTTCAATTCCCAGCAACCACATGGTGGCTCACAACCATCTGTAAAGAGGTCTGGTGCTCTCTTCTGGCCTTCAAGCATACATACAGACAGAATATTGTATACATACATAATAAATAAATAAATATTTTTAAAAAAATTATTCACTGTATTCAAGTAAGAATTTTTAAAATACAGAATGTGAAATTTTTTAGGAAATAAGATAAACATTAGAGATAGTAAATTTGGTATGTCAAATATTCCTAAGATAATCTTGTATCAAATGTTAGAGAGATCTACACTTTTTGTTGTCATTGTTGTGAGACAGGGTCTCTCCATGTAGACCATGGTCCTACAGAGATCCTCCTGCCTCTGCTTCCCAAGTGCTAGGACTAAAGGCATGGGCTGCCATTCCTGCTAAGATCTACTTTTAAAGAGAAAATCAGTAGAGTACCCGCTGCTTCTAGCAATGCTTCCAGTCTCGCCTGGGTCTCGGGATCCACTGTGCGTAAATCTGCTCCTTCTGCTGTACTTGATAAGAATATCTCTGACGTTTTAAGGACTGGGTTATCCAAATCTTCTTGGTCCAAAATAAATGATTCAACCTGTTTATGAATTAAAGATCGAATAATGATGAAGCTGATGCCAATATGACTATAATAACTATAATCTAAGTCAGTATTATTTAAAATTTAAATATAACCAGATAATTATATAAACACAAGCTATGAGGACAGAACTGAGGGAGCATTTTCTGTTAATCTTCAAGCATGATGACAGGTATAACTCAGACATACTAATAAGTTTCTTGAAGAGCACTGTATCTTTATGTTCCTAGCACAGAGCATAAAACTCTATATACACATGTGTCTTTTATGAAGTATATGTGCATAACCTCTTAGAAAATTGTAAACAGAACTAGGTAGCAAAATAACAATCACATACAAACATACAGCTAAGCCTCCTATTGCAGACCTGCACTCCTAGCTGCTCAAGAAGCTGAGGCAAGAAGACCAAAGTACAAGACTTACCTAGACAACTGAGTAAGACCCTTGTCCTAAGTAAACAGAAAAAGGGCTGGGGGGAGGGGGAGTGAAAGGCAGTGGACGGCTGAAAGTAAAAGTACCTGCTGCCAAGCTTGATGATCTGAGTTTGACCACGGGAACCCACATTGTAGGAGAGAACTATATTCTGCAAGTTGTCCTCAGACCTCTACACTGACACCCATATGTAGACATACAAACATAGATAAACAAATAAATGTAAGTGGGAACTGGGTATTATCTTACATTAGAACACTTGCCTAACATGCAAAACTCTAGGCTCAATCTCGAATACTGAAAATAGAAATAGCATTACTAGGCCATTATAAGACAACTGTCCTCTTTTCTAAATAATTTATTTTGACTTTAAAAAAATGAGTTAGATTTAACCTACTGCTGGGTGTGGTGATACATGCCTAAGAATACATCATACCTAGCAGGCATCTGATTTATAATAGTATGAACAAAAATCAATTAAAAAATATACATGGAACTCTCCAATTTTTTTTTAAATTTATTTATTATGTATACAATATTCTGTTTGCGTGTATGTCTCCAGGCCAGAAGAGGGCACCAGACCTCATTACAGATGGTTGTGAGCCACCATGTGGTTGCTGGGAATTGAACTCAGGACCTTTGGAAGAGCAGGCGATGCTCTTAACCACTGAGCCATCTCTCCAGCCCCCGTCCAATTTTAAATCAAGTTATTTCTAATTGAATTTTTAAAAACTGGGGGCACAGCTTTCTTGAAATCTATTAAAATTTATTTTTAATTATTTGTATATGTATGTGCCTGTAGGTATATATGTTAACATGAACACAGGTGTGCTCAGAAAACAAAGACAAAGAAATCATCAGATCATCAGAACTAGAATCAAAGGTGGTTTTGAGCTGCCTGCCATGGATGGCTGGGCATCTAGCTCAAGTCCTCTGCAAGACCAGTGTAACAACAGCCTTAGCCAATGAGCCATCTTATGAACCCACAATTAATATTAATATTTAAGTCTATTTCATTTTTTCTATCTACTGTCCTGTTTCCCATCTCATAAAGGTTAAAAAAATTGAAACTTTTATCATACTAATATGGTTTAAAACTAATAATGGTAAAATGCTAAAAATCTTTCAACAATAAGTATCTAGTTTTTATCTTACTCTTAACCTGTATTTCTAAACCCCCCCGCCCCCGTGGTGGTGGCATATGCCTCTAATCCCAGCACTGGGAAAGCAGAGGCGGGTGGATCTCTGTGACTTCAAGGTCAGTCTGGTCTACAGCTGAGTTCCAGGACAGTCAGAGTTGTTACACAGAGAAACTGTGTCTTGAAGCCCATGCCCCACCCCCAAAAAAAGACATTTTAGGATGGAGGTATAGCTCAATGGAAGAACACTTAGCATGCTGAAGGCCCTAGCCCTAGGTTCAAACCCCAGTACTGCTAGACAAAAAACAAAACAAAAAAAAAGACTTCAACATAAAACATATGCATTATTTTGATTATATACTATCCTAATATAGTCACACCATGCAAAGACAAGGAACATCCCCTAAGCTCTCAAATACAAGTAAAAAAATTGGGGCTGGAGAGATGGCTCAGTGGTTAAGAGCATTGCCTGCTCTTCCAAAGGTCCTGAGTTCAATTCCCAGCAACCACATGGTGGCTCACAACCATCTGGAATGAGGTCTGGTGACCTCTTCTGGCCTGTAGACATACACACAGACAGAATATTATATACATAATAAATAAATAAATATTTAAAAAAAAAAAAAAAACAAGTAAAAAAATTGTATTGAGGGGCTAGAGAGATGGCTCAGCAGTTAAGAGCATTGCCTGCTCTTCTAAAGGTCCTGAGTTCAATTCCCAGTAACCACATGGTGGCTCACAACCATCTGGAATGAGGTCTGATGCCCTCTTCTGGCCTGCAGGCATACATGCAGATAGAATGTTGTATATATATTAAATAAATATTTTAAAAAATTGTATTGAGTAGACAGTTGAATATTAGCAACCACAAATTTCATTTTTGGTAATCTTTACAAAGCCAACACAAATTTTATTTTTGGTAGTCTTTACAAAAAGCCTTTACAGGCAAGGTGTGGTGGCACACCTGTTATCTCAGCACCTAGAAGGTAAAAGCAGGAGTCTGAGAATAGCCTTGGCTACACTAAGTTTGAGACCAAACCTGATGTTACCCTGTCTAAAGAAAAAGAAAATGAAAGAAAAGGAGTGGGGAGATCAAGATGACTCAGTGGGTAAATATGCTTGCCATACAAACCTGGCAACCCAAGTTCAGACCCTAAAATTCATGCAGCAGGATAAAAAACCAACTCCCACACTTTGTTATCTGACCTACACACACACACACCATATAAACTTTTTAAAAACTCCTCACTTAAAGAGATTGAGGTAGGAAGATTATGAAGGTTGAAGTTAGTCAGCTATATAACACAACCTAGTCTCAAAAAAATTGGTTACAGCATGGTGCATACCTGTAGTTTCAGCTACTTGGGATGCTGATGTAGAATAAATGATCAATGAGATAAAGAGAAGCCTGGGCAACACAGCAAGAACCCATCTCAGAGAGAGAGAGAGAGAGAGAGAAAGAGAGAGACAGAGAGACAGAGACAGACAGAGAGAAACAGTAGCTATATAAAAAGAAGCTCCTCAGCCTATTGGCTAAAATCAAGTACACAGCTGAGCATGGTGACACATGCCTTTAATTCTGGCATTCTAGAGACAGAGGCAGGCAAATCTTTTGAGATCAAGGCCAGCCTGGTTTACAGCCTGGTTTTTAATGAGTTTTAGGACAAATCGGGTTATGTAGAGAGGCTTTGTCTCAACTGAACCCCCTCGGCAAAAGAAAAGTATATAAACAAATTTTAAAACCCAAAGGTCTGAATCAGGTCAAATACTTACTTTTGCTGGATATAGGAGTACACATCTATATCCTAGTCAGAAGCTAAGGAAGAATATGTCAAGTTCAAGGCTAGCCTGGGCTGTGTTATAGAAATCCTGCCTCAAGGGACTGGAGAGAAGGCTCAGAGGTTAAGAGCACTGAATGTTCTTCTGGAGGTCCTGAGTTCAATTCTCAGCAACTACAAGATCGGTCACATCCATCTGAAATGAGATCTGGTGCCCTCTTCTGGCAGAAATGCATGCATGAACACTGTACACATAATAAATACATCTTCAAAAAAGAAAAGAAAAAACATAGCACTAACATTAACTGACTATATAAGTTTGTGTATGTTATATATTGTATTTGTTTCCTCATATGCACATTAAGAACCATAATTTTTCTTATATGGTACCTACAAGGTTGGTTTTTAGAATATATAAGGAAGCATTTTAGTACAGTGGAAATGAGACCTCAACATATCATAGTTATTACTATGATTCTGGAAGTCAAAGTAGTGAAAGTAAATATTCTAGAACATACAAAATCTTGGTGTTCAGAACTATAGCAATTTGGTATGGCTCAAATATAAAAAGCAAATGGAGATCAGTGAGGATTAGTCTGTAAAGATAACAAAAGCAAAATCCAAAATAATTGTGTATGCTATGAAAAATATTTTTTCTTTGAGAGGGGAATATTCAACAGCCTATGCTAGCAGCAATCCCCATTACCTCAGTCTCCACAGCTCTTGAACTACAGGTTAAAATGAATATTTTAGTAAAAGAGAATTTACTCTGATATCAGGGTAAAGATCTAGAAACTAAGACTAAAGGCAGACAGGCAATTATAGTATAGATGAAAGATAGTTTCATTTACAGCAGAAGTGAGAATACAGAAAAAGGAATAAGATGTCTACAGTGAGAAGTAGAAGCAGTGTGAGCTATGACTTGGGTTAGGGCAATGAGTTACTACTATGATGTGGGATTTCCCTCTGTATGCTGTGATTACCATTAATGAATAAGGAAAACTGGCTTAGCCTGTTGAGAGCACAGAACTTAGGAGAAAACTAAGCTGAATGCTGGGAGAAAGAAGGGCGGAATCAGAGAGAGGCCACGGAGCCGCCAGAGATAGACGGGCTGAAACTTTGCTGGTAGGCCACAACCTTGCGGTGATATACAGATTAATAAAAATGGGTTAAATCAATATGTAAGAGTTAGCCAAAGAGCCGTCAGGGTTTTCTGCACTGTGGTAAGTCCTAGGTCCTCCCCTCTCCGTCCATATCTAGGAAGGTGAACATCCAAACTGGCTATGCTCCCACAAAGCCAGCACATTAAGCAGGATCAAAACCCCGTGCCATTGTCCTTTGCTTCTCATCAGCCCTCATTGTTCGCCATGTTCAGACTGGAGAGGGAGGGGGAAAGGAGTGGGGGGAGGGGAAGAAGGGTGGGAGGAGGGGGAGGGAAATGGGAGGCTGGGAGGAGGTGGAAACTTGTTTTTTTTTTTTCTCCTTTTCTCAATAAAAAAAAAAAGAGCCAATAAGAAGCTAGAGCTAATGGGTCAAGCAGTGATTTAATTAATAGTTTCTGTGTGATTATTTCAGGTCTAAGCTAGCTGGGCAGCCAGGAACCAACAAGCAAGGGCAATGCTACTTATAAAGATGATGAGGCTGAGTA